CTTTTTATAAACATTTCCTTCATAGTTATATAGAAAGCGTGATACCTTCGATGTTTGTCATATCTAACAAGAATGTATAGATGATTCGTTATACTGGTCATTCTCTCTTTCTTCATGTACGTGTGCAAATTGAGTAAATACAATGATAGTAGTCATCGTATCTAATCCCGCCCTGACGTGCGTATATATATATATATATATATATATATATTCTAGGCTAGGTTAGAAAAAAAGGGGATGGACTGCATGTGCTGTTGCATTTCCGTTTTCTACGTTTGAATGCAAATTGACGAAGAAGCTTTGAATACCTTGAATAATCACGTATGAATTTTCTATTGGATTATTAAAATAAGTGCAACTATGACAATCAAGAAGGTGTGACAAGACAAAAAAAAAAGAAAAAGAAAAAGAAAATAAATCTTAACACATCGTTAGATATGATAACTCTCTCACCTGTATAAGAAGTTTTCATTCTTATTCTTATTTTTTCTGTTTTTATTCGTTGTTGAGTCGATCGATCAATTTCACATCAAATTTATTTCATGTATTCTAACTGACATATAACAATAATATGTTCAAAATGAACCTGTCTGTCGTTTGTACATATACAACATAGTTCTTGATTTTTTTTTCTTCTTTCTCATCGTTCGTCTTTCTCTTCTATATATGATTCTCATTTTCAAAAAGTAAATTTAAGTTAAGAGAACAAGAGAGAATATATGTATATATATATATATGTATACATAAATGTAAAGTTTTTGTGAGTCACGTACAACATAGAAGACAAAGTTAATTCTAAACACTTTCTTAATGTATTTTTTGTCATCATTGACAAGTATGTAAATATGCTCTCGGTACACAATGTTTGTTGATTACGGAGGGAATAATATTTATATATATATATATATCTTAACAGTATTTAGATAATCAAGCTTTCAAGCCACTTACTTTTTTTTTCTTCTCCTAATCTTTTCTGTTGTATTTTGTTTTTACTGATTTCTAAATATATGTCTGACGAAAAAAAAAAATTATGTACACGGTTGTCCAAGATAAATAGACGAACAAAAGTAATTTGAGAATTGAAGCATAGAAGAGACATACAAAGTTATAAGAAAAAAAAGAAAAAACTAAAAAAGAAAGAATCTTTCATTCAGATATTCATGCCATTAAATGAAGTTGAACGAATGACTTCATTAGTAGTTTCAAATAAGTATTTTCTAAGGATTCATTGTACGTGACACGACTTGTAATCAATTGTCGATGTTAAATATAATGAAAGTGAGTGAAATCTTTGTTTTTCTAATGAATAAAGTTCCTATCGATTTATATGACAATTCGCTTTTTTTTTATATTTTCTATATGATATGTCAAGACATAAGAATAATATTCTATTTGATCAAAAGAACTAGTTTTTTTTTTGTCATTTCACACAGGTGTCTTTAAGTCAATGTGTTGATGATGATGATGAGTCTCTTTAAAGTGAGAACAAACATTCTTTTGGTTAAAATGATTCACTGCTTTATATTTCAATCACTTTTGATCATCAAATGAATAACAAACATTAATCCATTTCCCTTTTCACTACAAACTGTGAAAATATAAAAATGCGGATGTACAAAAAAAAAAATGAGAAAAGAAGGATTTAGTAATTTATAATTTGTTAAGAATTTTCTTCTTCTTCTTCTCTTCTTTCAATGCTTTTATCACATTTGATCACTTGACGACGACAATCAGCTCTTGTTCGGATGAGTGTATATGTGTACTCTACTTAGTTTGGTGTTGACTCTCGAAGCTTAACATAAATTCCTCGTTTTCTTTCTTTTTTTTTTTTATTCAATACATAGCTTTGCCAAATATACTTGAAGAAGTGTGCGTGTAGAAACAAGGTCAAAAATGAATTGAGTCGAAGCTTCATTCAAACAAAAGATCAAGCAATCTTTTCATTTTTTTTTTTTTTGATTAACATTGTTCCGCCTAGGAAAATGAAGGATTAACTCTTCCAATTTTTTATTGACTTTACATATTTTTTTTTGGGAGAAGGAGAACAACAACTACCAGATGGTTTTTTTCTCTTCAATTCAATTTAAGAATGTACACATAGAAGAAGTTTATTCATTAAAAATGAGCAAAGAACAAACTTCTAGTCACACCTCATCATCATACATCAATTTTAGATCGTGACAAATAGGAATAAGAGACCAAACATGAAGACGTTTGTTCAGAGTAAATATACGAATGATGTCTATGGTTAGTTCCGTTGTCGCATTCGATTGATGATCGATCAAATTGTGTTCGTTAACATAGGAGAATAGGATGGAAGAGAAGATGATTAAAATTTACATTCGATTTCCTCTTACTGACATCACAAGTAAATACGAAAAAGAAAGCAAAGCAAAGCAAAGCAAAGCAAAACAAATTCATTCGATTTCCGTTCAGACTTACTTTAACATCCATTTATGCATTTCTTTCTTTTTCTTTTTTTTTTTAGAAAATGTCGAAAAGAAAAATCTTTTCAAGAGTTCGCTGTAATCGGATCGTAGGCCTTCAGAAAAAAAAGTAATCGATACCTGAACGAAGGTTTCTTGGCGTCGGTCAATATTTACTTTTCCCGTTCTATAGATATATATATATATATCAATGTGCACCTTAATCAGATATCGATATGAACAACAAGAATGAGACGACGAAAAAAAAAAACTGAGATGAATATACAATGCCATCTGTTCATTATTCAATAATCTATGAGAAAAAAAAAAGTCTTGATAGACATTATTAGTTTTTACTTTTGTATATATTGGTCTCATTTTGAATAAAAGTATGTTTGAGAACAAACATTATTAAGATATTGTATACATGTTCTGTCAATCATTATTATAGGTATGTTTTATTTAATTGAAAATTCGATCGACTTTGGTGTTCTTTTTTTTTTTTTGATAAAAATGTATTAAAAATGATTTTTATAAAGATAAGAATAACAAACGACAAACAAGAAGAACGAATATGTGATGATGAACTTAATTATGAATATTTAAATTGCGAGTAAAATTGTTTTTAGATAAATGAAAGAAAAAAAGAGAATTTAAAAGACTGTTCAAATATTTGTTGAATAGAAGTAAACAATTTTAGTTTTGATGTAAGAAAAAAAAAAGAAAAAGGAAATTACTTGTTCCGATCCATCACCGGTTCATTTTTTAGATACAATCTTTGGTAAATTTTCATTTATTTTGCTATATGTAATAATAAAATTGTAATCAATTTTAATCGAATTTCATCATACTTATATTCAGTTTTCTTTGATACGAAATGCTGGGTTTTTTTTTTGATGAAGAACATGAAAATAAATCTTACTTAATTTTCTGAATTAAATATTCGATTGATCAATCAATAGAAGATGAATATCTTTTATGAAAAATATTTTAATGTTTCGAATTAAAATCTTTATTGTTAATAAATATTGATAAAATATTATTTGAAGTATTATGAAGTTTGAACTTCTGTTTTTCTTATAAAACGATAATTTTTATCTTAATACTGAGTTAAGTGTCTCAACTTATTCTTGTAAATATTTTATGAAATAATATTGACAATAATAACTTAATGTATATTGTGGATTGTAAACGTCTATTTAGATGAATTACTTTATTATCATTCAAACATATATATATAACTCAAATTTGGAATATATTTTATACATATATTTATTGTATCATTCATAATCGTACTATTTCATAACATAGAAATATAGTTACATCGAAAAATAATATATGTTGAATTTTGTTTTCGATGTGTTAGTCTTTATATTAGAGACCATAGAAATATATACATGGTTACATATATTCGTAAAAACACCAGTACTAATTATGTTGAAGATATAGTAAATCAATTTTCTGTCATTCTTACAGTTAAACCAAATAATAGTTTGCTATGTTTTATTATTGCAGTCAATCTTGCTAAAGACTCCAAATAATATCGATTTCAACATAGACAATATAGAAAAATTCGTCAAAAACAAATTAGTCGATTTATATTAAATTATTACTATACTTTCTATAATAATGCGCAATATAAAGTAATAGTATTATACATGTTTAAAATTTGACATAGTTCTTTAATTATACTTGATTTACTCTAGAAACATTCGAACTCAAATTTGAAATATGAATTACATTCTCAAAGAGTATTGTGTAATTGAAATTACAAAATATGAATAAATTTCACAAATCGATAAGAAATCTTATATTTAACATTAATTTCGTAGGCAAAATCCATTACTATACTTTTTTTTCTGTTTCTAGGTTTTTTTTCCTACTAGTAATCAAACGAAAATGTAAATATTATAAAGCTTCATGAAAATTACCATAACTTCATATAAGAACAGTCGTTGAAATATTTATATTGATTTTTTTGTTTTGTTTTGTTTTTTTTTTGTATTTATTTAGTGAATAAAGTTAATATAATAGCAACTAAGATTATAAAGATTTGTTTTAAAAATAAAAAAGTCAGTTTTATTCTCAATAATACCTTTAGACTGAAACTACGAAAAGAGATATTTTCCTATTGAAATCAAATATAAATAATACCATATTATTACTTAGACAAAATTATCTTCACTTTTACAAACATATTAATACTACTAAATGATAAATATCGAAGAATTAAATTATTCAAATAATATTCTTGTTTATGATTGATAAAGACTTTTTAGTTTTTTTTAGTGTTTAGAAAGAATAACATTAAAAAAAAGAAATTAAATAGATTTGCATATATCTCAAATAATTATTTGTGAAAAAGTTCGCTGATATTCAATTTTAAATGAATTATAAATTCTTTTTTTTATAGTTCGATAAAAATTTTAATTAACGTTATGATATCATATCAATAATACAATTAGATTTGTTTGATTATTTGATGTTCAAATAAGAACAATATGTTCGAACAAAAAAAAAAACAATTTCAACAGAATTTTTTCTTATTTTTATTTGTAATAACAAAACAGCAAATTAAACAATTTCAGTTTCCTAAAAAAACAACAAACAAAAAAATAATTAATTTACAAAAAAAAGAAAAGAAGAAAATTCTAAATACCATATCTTGATATTCTAATAATTGTCTTCGTATTGCTGAATTATCAGTCCATGAAATAAAATCTTCTGTATTTCTAGAATTGAAAAGAAGAAAAAAATTTTCATATAGTTTTTAAAATAAAAAAAAAAACAAACAAACACTTATTTACCTCGTAACAAGAAATGCTGGATCGGTAACAATATCAGGTCCAATACGAATATGTCCTTGTTCAATAAATTTAACTGCTCCTGGTAAATGTTGTGCCATATGATTACGTGTCATAACAACAGGTAAACGACGTCGACAAAATCGACTAGCAGTTATTTTATCAACTAATTCAAGATTTTCTTTTGTTGGTGTTAAACCAAGTGAATGTCTTTGAAATAAGAATATTTAAAAAAATAAATAAATCTTATTTGTTTTTTTTTTCTTTCTTACAATTTTTCTAATAATGTACGTGTTGCTTCTATTCGAAATGGATCATTAGCATCTAATTCTTTAATTTTACGAGCTAATTCACGTATTCTTCGTGATAAATCATTATATTTTGTATAATCTTCACGTTTTTGTATATGAAATTTACGCATAACAGTTACTTCATGTAAATTTTTATCAACTTCCCAATTGATAAAATCAACTTTTTTTAATAATTTACGCTCGTGAAAACGTAATTTTCGTACCATGATAACTTTTTTTTTCTGTTATCTGAAAAATAGAAAATAATCTATGAAAAGAAAAAACGAATATAAGCAATGCTTTTACGAAATGCTTCTTGTTCGTTCAGCTTTAGTTGTTAAGAACAAATATGAAACGAACTCATTTTATTTCTAAGAAGAAATTTAGAGTTTTCACAGCCCTCTTATATAAACTCCATTTGTCTTTCATATATCTAATATTAATCTTACAGAGAGTCTTCTAATTATTTTTGCTGTGAAACGAACCAATTGTATGAACATTTTATATTCATTGTAAATGTTTAAAAACTTATTATATTCTAATGTCGGTGTTAGAACAAAATTTGACGACACAAATAATTTTTACAATATCTAATTGTAATATTTTAATGGCGAATTGATTTTCATTCTCAACGGTTAAATTATACTATCTTAATGATCACCATCTAGAGAAGTTTCTTTTACTAATATACAAAATAATTATATTTAACACTTTATACTAATTTCATAATGCTTACAAAAAAACGATTCCGAGTGTCGGATATCAATTGAGCTCATAGTTTGCCCGTATATAGAATTCAGTGAGACTAGTTGAAACCTAAAGAAATTTGTGCCTTTTGGAGTTGTGATTGTTCTATTGAATTTTAAATCTCGTACACATCTGCTGGCCAAAGATCGTAAGACACCAGTTCGATCTGAAATATTGTCCATGAATAGGTCTCTTCGTTATTAGATTGCTTTGAAAGTTTCCTTTGAAAAGTACGATTTCTTTGTGAAGTATCTAATGATCAAGAAACTGTCATTTTTCATACAGAAAAGGTTAGAACATCAACTGTTTTGATCATTGAATAACTCAAATAAGAAATCATACTTTTCAAGAGAAGCATTCAGAACAATCAAATAACGGCGCGACCTCCTTATGAACAAAACTTCAGATAGAACTGGTGCCTTACGATCTTTGACCAGCTGGTTTGCGTATAGTCGAAAATTCAATACAACGGTTGTAACTACAAAAGGCGCAAATTCTTTTTGGCTTTTACTAGTCTTACTGAGTTCCATATACGGACAAACTATAAGCTCAGTCAGCATTCCATAGTTGAGAACCTTCTCTCGTTAATTCTAATAATTCTTTTACTATATAGGAATTAACTTAATGTTCAAAAGTATTTACTCGTATTGGATTAAGACAATATTTCCTCTCATATCTATCATCTCAAGTTCATGTTTAATCGTAACAACAGCTGAAATTAGTAAGATTAATTTCCGTAACTAAAAGCCTAATAGCGGAATCTTCTTTAGGACAAGCAAGCTTTTTTTTCTTGATTTTTACACTCTAGATCACTTTTTCTTGGAAGTATTGCTTCGAAGTCTAAGTCGATGCATTGATCGGCTTACACTTCTGAAGGGTGTGACTTCAATCTATGAGCAGATTCTCTATAGCTAATTTAAAATATTGTCATTCTCAATAGAAAGAATAATCTGAAATTTCTTAGAAAAATAAAATAAAAAAAAAACCAATTTTACATATTCTGAATTATTATTTATTTAAATACCGTTTGTGCATTTATTGCACATTTCGGTTCACTGTTTCAGAAAACAGAGAAAGGAAAGATAAGAATACAAAACCAACCGGGATGAATTTGACGCAACGCTATACATAAGATAAGAAAAAAAAAGTGAGAAAAATGATAAAGTATTTTTTAATGTTTTGCTTGAAGAAATAAATATATATTGTTTTTTTGTTTATTTAATTAAAGTAGCAATTTCAGGATCATCTGTCCATTGTGTTAATTCTTGACGTATTTCATTATTAATTCCATTTTGATCTAAATATTGACAAATTGTACGAATACGTTCCAATTCTTGTTGTAATTGTATAATAGCCTTTTCTCGATCAGTAACAAGTTCTTCTAAATATTCATAACGAAGTTTTTTTCTATGACGACATTGTCGAGCACTTTCACGACTTTTTTCTAATCGTGTATTTGAATCACTTTTCATTGGTTTACGACCTCGTTTACCCATTTTTATATTTTGTTTTTTTTTTGTTAAATCTAGAAACAAAAAGTATCGATTAATTTCTGAACTTTGATTTTTTTTTGTTTTTGTTTTATTGTTTTGTTTAATTATCAATTGAAACTAAAAGACAACATCAATACAAATAAACGAAAGAAGAAAATCAAATCATAAAATGCAGAATAATATTCATAAAAATTCTTTTTTTTTTGTTTTTCGTCGTTTTCTATTGCACAAATAATTTCAAAAAAAAAGAAATAAATAACTAAATAAAATTATGTTCGAATTTGAAATCGACCTTTTTTAACTGTTGTTATATATTTAACACCTTTAAATGGTTTATATTTTTCTCCATGCATATCAACACGTTGTACACGTATACCTGATATAGCTATTTGATTTAATGTAAAACGTACATTTAATATTGGATTAGATTCAGGTATTGGTTGACCAGTTGATAAAACAATATTTCCACGTAATGATGGTAAACGTGTAGTATTTTGAGTATTACTTTCAATTTTACCTATATCCCAAACAAGATTTTTCTTTACAGGATCAAATGTAGATTTGCCTTGTGTAGGTGTTAAAGTACAATTAAGTACACTTTTTGGCATTGCACATTCAATAACAACAGATTCAAGCTACAAAAACAAAAAATTCAATAAGAAAATAATTTTAGCAAAAATATAAATACGAACAGTTTTGCCCATTGTTTGTTTTGGTCCAACAGTTAATTCAAATCGACCATTACTACCTTCACGAAATTGAATATTGTGTTTAACATAAATTGGAATGGATATTGTACTATAAAATAAGTTGAAAATTACATTTAAATTATGTAGTTTATTTTAGATATTACTATGATGTAATTTTATTTATATATATATATATATTCCGTTTAGAATGAAAAACATGAATGATTAGGTCTATTACAATTCAAATTGAACAATGTATGTAATATATAGAAGACTTTTTGAATATTCTCAAGATCAAAATCCTACGAATCTATCAAAACTATGTTTTCTGAGATTTTATTTATTTGTTTTTTTTATTCTAATCAATGTATGAATATTCACAACATAATACATGTAGATGATCGGTTTGACCATCACGATAAGTAAAACTTCCATTTAAGATAGTTTTATAATTTCTATAAATAAAAAATTATTGACAAGTCTGATTTCGCCTACTCAAAACACTTCTTCAAGAAAAAGCTTTGTAAATTTCTAGCATACGATAGTAATTAACTTACTAAAATTGACATCTGTTGATAGGGAAAAAATATAGGATGTCCGGAAAAGTCGCTAACTAAAAAAGGAAACTAACAAATCTGTTGTAATGCGATTAAATCAAATCAACTGACTCAATTTTTCCTATGTTCATAGAAGAGTTTTGCAAGTTTTTATTCATAAATTTAAAGTTTATAAATACTGAAAACTATACCTTTTCTTTTTGTTTTTCGTAACTCTGAACTTGTCGCTATCGAAGTTTTCTTCTCATACTTTACAAAAATATTTTCATGCTACTTGAAAAATCTTGAGTAACATATACGTTTTTTTTTTGTCAAAATAAATTGTTCTTGACTCATTAAAAAAACGTCGATACAAAAAATATCATAAAACCAGTTTGTGTAGGCCTATTCGTTGACATTTTAAACTAACGAAAACAACATTAGTGTACATCATGAGAAAGAACGTACTCATTCACACTCTGTCACGTGCTTATGATAGATAATTTTTCTAACACCTTGTACAATATGATATCAAATAACTTACTTTTGTGAACCAATATGATATGAAATTAAACGAAAATTTCCATCAGGTGGAATAAATGAAAGAACACGTTCACTCTTAGAAAATAAAAATAAAAAACAAAATATTAAATCATTCAGGAAACAAATAAATTTAAATAAAAAACATACCTCCCATTTTTTTAATCTTACACATGGATGAAAACTAACATCATCCAATAATCGTGGATTAACAAATGATAATGTTAAATCAGGCATACCACTTAATTTAACACAACAATCAATCTAAATACATAAACAAAAAAAAAACGAACATAGTCAAACAAATTTTTCCAAATATAAAACTTGAAAAATCAATCAAAATGTGCATATAGCAAAAAAAAAACAATCTACATAATCTTTTCTAATGATTTAGCATTATGTATATGCATATATTCGTACCACACCACTGATTTCAGCAGTGATAATCATTCCTCGTTGATCAACAATGGCATCAAGTGTTTCAATAATATCCAACAAAACTTCATTTGTTGTTCGATGTTTTATTCCTAATTGACGCCATGTGATACCTGTTTCCATTCCAACAGATATTTTTTTTGCATCCTCACGTGCCATTACAACACTAATATTTAATAAGACAAAAAAAAAGACTCCTGTATTTCAAATGAATACTTCAACCCGTTTTTTTTTTAGAATTTTTCTTATTAATAAAAATACTTTTCTTTCTTTTTGTTTGACGTCGCACAATAACCATAACTATATATTCACTTACATATCCTTGAATTTCACACATAATTGTAGTTCCATTACGATCAATAATAGCATCAATTTCTTCAATTAAATCAAAATAAGCTTCGTTATTTGTATATTTAACACCCATACGACGCCATGGAATATTTGATAATTGACTAGATGGAAGTGTATTACTAATGCTAGAAGAAGAAATTTTAAGTCTATTGTCTGTCTGCTTTTTTTTGTTTTAATATTTTGTATTATTAATGCTAAAACTGAAAAAAAAAAGTATGCAAATAATTTTTGACTTACTTTGTGTTATCGCCGGTAACAAGATTTGCAACTTTACGAAATATATTTGGTGGTTTAATAAGTTCTTTTAATATATTTGTTTCTGTTGCTAATGGTAAACCAGAATCAAGCATTTCATCCAAGAGCTATTATATTAATAAAAAATAAAACACGAACAAAAAAATTTCTTTTTTTTTACTTCATAAACAATAACATAGTTATCTTTGAGTGATGTTTCTGTACATTCACCAAAATAATCTTCAAATACATCCATTATACGATGAAGAAATTCAATGACAAAAAGTGGTGCAACTAAAAATATATTTCAAACATGAAGATATATTGTTATAATACTATACCGTTAGAAACGAATGGACTCCGACGATTATTTTTTGAGCTTAAGAGGGAATCTCGCTAAATGATAAATCAGTTTTCATTATGAATTTTATATTATTAAGAAAGCTCTATTGAAATTAGATAAAAATTTAACAAGGGAGGTTTTTTTTAGTTGGTCGATCGGTTTTTTAACGAAAGCTATTGAACTACAGGTTATCGACCATGTTGATCCCTTCATATACTGGTTTTCTAGAAAACTAGCATGCAAAGACTTCGGAGCCACCATAATCGATAATTCATCATCCAGTAACTTTTGGTAAGAAAACGATTGATTAGTTGAAAACATTCCTTCGTAAAAAGACTTATACCCATTAATCTTTCTTCTTTAGCTATAAACATTTTAGCAAGTTTTTCAAAAAGAAGTGACTTGATCTGACTCAGACACAATGAACTATTCTTTTCAAAAATATTATTTGTGCAAAGTTTGAATTCCAAAATATGTTGTTGAGACAGATATTCAGTTTGTCATAGACTTTTTTTTGGCTCAAAAGTTTATGGAATCATAAATAGGATCAATTGGTGTTTAGTACTCATATATATTGACGAAATTTCACATTTGAAAAAAAATATTCGAAATACTAGCTTACTTTCGTTGGTGAGTACAGCAACAAAATAGAGACTATTGCGAAATATATTTATTAAATAATGATGAGGTGTGGCAATAACAGGTGGAACATCTTCTGAATTGGCACACTACATTTAAAAAATATTTATTTTAGATGCTAGAAAGAAAATTCAATTTACCTTAGATTGAGCTTCAAAAAAATAATCGCATATTGATTTTCCTACTACTGTTTTCCAATGTTTTTCCATAAAAACATCTCTAAAAAAAGTGCCGCAAAAGAAAAACAAAAGATTAATATGAACATTATTAAACTTTTGATAAGAATGCTAATATTTACCCTGATCCGTTAATAATAAATAGACTATGAATCATTCTTCTTTTTTAGAAATACTAAATCTGCAAATGAAACAAGAACAAAAATGATTTATATTTTCGAGAAAGGATATTTCAATATAATAAGCTAATGCACAATAAAGCATCGCTGATCTTAATTGTTTTTGTTGTTCTATTTTTTTTTTCTTCTTATAATCTACTAGCTAAATGTTAAGTCGACCAGAGAAAAAAAAATATACAAAGAAGAATATCAGCACACAAATACAAAAAAAAAATATATAGAGCAATCCAAACAACGTACTTTTGTATACATATATATATATATATATATCTGACAGTCACCACAAAAAAAAAAAATATGTAGTAACGAATGAAGAGAAGAAAAATATCTGACGAGTTTAACTTTTCTCATTCGATGCGAATGAACACGAGTAAATATATGAAATTAGAAGATAACAATAACAATAACAACAACAAAAATAATAATCATGTTTATTTAGATTTTTCTTATTTTCTTTATTTAATCTAATGCCATAGCTGAACGTGAATCAACATTATTAACAATTGTATCCATTGAATCAGCTACATCTAAATCAATAACTGAACTATATTTATTTTCATTATTTGGATTAATTGTAAGTGATTCTTCAAAATCATATAAATCTGGTAGAAAATTTTCATCAATATCTTCCATATTCATTGATGTTGATGAAGGTGTTGAATAACCATCACTACGTTGAGATGATGATAATGATATTGAATCATCATCATTATTATTATTACTACCATTTTCTTTTGTTCTAAATAATAGATTTGTATTATTTACAAAAAAAAAAAACAAAAACAAATAATTTTCTTTTTGAAATTCTTAAACATTAATTGTTTCTCTTTAAATAACATACTTATCTGTGCCAAATTCATGAAGTTTTCGACGCCATGCTTTAATAGCTCCATCGAAACCACGTCGAGACATTTTTGCATATTTGCATGGTGTACGTGGATGTTGTCTTGTACGAGATTTTCTTTATTACATTAAAAAAAAATAAAAATAAAAATTCAAGTTACAACTAAACGTAAGACGAAGAACAACAAAAACACAAGATAATCTACCGTGGTATAGCTGATGTATATGATTGATATGCTTTAGATAATTTTCCTTTACTTATTTCTTTCTGTCGTCGTAAAAGTTCTATATAAAATAAAAGATAAAGAATAATTTATTAATGATTCATATATATATATATATATATAAAATTTTAACCTTTTGGACAACATTCAATAGATGAAAGAATTTCTTCAGTTGTTTTATTTTCATGAACAGAAAATTGTTTTAAATAAAGTATAAAACTATATAAATTAAAAAACAAAAAAAAAATAACTTGTAAATTTTATTTTAAAATTAATCCTTTCGTTCTTTTGTTTTACCTATGTAATTTTTTTTCTTCAGCTTCTTCATTATCCATTTTATCACACCAATCTTTTGATAAAGATTTTTGTAATTCTTGTTGTTCTTCTTCAAAACTATCAGAAAAAAAAATATTACAAAAAAAAAAAACAAAATTAAATTTCTCTCCACCTAGGTTTTGGTGTTCTTGGTCTTTCTTCATTTTTTATATTAAGTCTATTCGGACGATTATTTGGTGTTGATGGTTTACTTGATGTTCTATTGTATAAATAAAAACACAAAAAAAAAGAAATTTTAAATATATATAAATACAGAATATTTCAAAAGTTCGAACGATAACAAAACAAACATGAATATCTCCTTTGTCAACGATTTCTCGATCGTTTTATATGTTAGAAAACTTGAGAAAGTTTTAAATTGAATAGAAAAGGCTGTATTTTAAAACCACTCCGAAATCTATATTATTAGATTTCGAAAAGAAATTCTTGTCTTGCACAGATCTACTTTTTCACCTTTGGTGTTATGATAGCTTTATATCTTGTGTAAGCTATTAAGGGGACCCCCCCCCCTTTCCCGACTCAAAATTTTCACATTTTTCATTTTTCATTTTTTGTGATTAGTATATAGATTTGAATGCCCTCTATCCATTGAGTACATTTTGAGAACTGAAAAACCACATCTTATATATAAAAAATTCGAAAAAAATCACAAAATATGCTGAAAAAACCAAAAAAACACAAATTTCTTTGCGTTTTTCTCAAAATCAGTTTTTTCAGCAAAAAAATGAAGTTTTCCCCCTTTTTCTCCGCCATTTCAAGTCCGATCGGGCTGAAAATTGTTTTGGTGAGACTTCAAGTGATTTGGGTTGGGTGTTTTTTTTTTTTTTTTTGGATACCTTCTACCAATCAAGTTTGGCAGGCTTCGCAAAATTTTTAGGATCCAAAAAACCTAGAGATTTTGCAAGGTGCTCAGTATTTTGGTTCTCCAGCCTGAAGTATTTGGAATTTTTGAAAAAAAAAAAAAACACCCACCCCGATTGGGTCCGTCTACCCACAGCAAAAATTTCAGCTCAAACGGATGAAATTTGTGGATTTGCGGGGGGGAAAACTTTTTGCAAGTTTTTGACCTTGGGGTCTCTGGAAGTCCACGAAGATGACGTCTGGCAAATTTGTGTCTATGACAACTTTTGCTCTACTACTCGAGGTCTATCTACCCTGCAAGTTTCAGGAATTTTCGTTCGGCCGTTTCTTAAAAACGCCGGAAAGGGGGGGGGTCCCCTTAAGACTCGGACATATTCTCAGTCAGATTGGTTATTTTTGGGGCAAAAATAGATTTCTCATAGGGGTAGGATCTCAAATTTTTTATTCATAGTCAAATTTGAATAAGTCAGCTTTGTACAATAGTAACTAAAAATTGAATTTAGAAAAAGTAAACATTACATTAGCAGTACATTCTGATGATTTTATGGAAACAGTACTGTCGAAAATCGATGGAGAAAGTTAAGGATGCTTGAAAAAAATGAGCTGGGATCAAGTGTTCAGTCTACGTAACTCTTTTTCATAGAACTATTAAATAAATTGCACTTTAATAAGAAATATTCCGTCATAATCCGGTATATAGTAATGAGCAAGCTTGTACAATAAACCAAACATTTAATCCTGGCTCATTTTCACAAGCATCTTTAATCTTTTTTCTTCAGTAATTACTCTACGGTCATCAATTTCACAAAAATCGCTGAAATGTGGTCTTGAATTGCTGAGATGCTATTCATATTCTGGTTTTTTTTTATCGTTTGAATGTAAATATATATGTTTTTTATACCGTTGATTTTCATCATGAAATGGATCATTAGCATTTTCATCGAAATGTATTGGAGCTGAATATGGATGATATTTATTTCGTCGTGGTGAACTTAACAAAGAAATTCTTGATATAGGGAAAAAAAAAATATATCATTTTGTTTTCTGTTTAACTTTACTTTTCATTTGTTTCATTAGCACAATAACGTTTTGGACGAAAACGTGCTGGACTTGGCGTGCCACCATCACTTGACTCATAGGCACGAGCTGTTTTAGGTGTATGACGTATGCGACTATATTTAATAAAAAGAACAAATATATATATATATATTAATTTATTAATTATTAGTTAAAAATTAATTAATATACTTTGGAGTATTAGATGCTGACATATTAGAGAATTTTATAGAATGTAAATTTTCTTAGAATAAACAGTAGTCGTCCAACTAAACAAAGAATTTTTTTTTTAATTCAAAGTTCTAATTGAATAGAGATTTAAACCAATAAGACGAATATTTTAGTGAGCGCTACATGCAATGAGATCTGTTAAATGTATAGTAACTCATATTTGATTTGACCCTGTATGCTTGTCGATTGTATTATGTATATATTTATTTCGAAGGTGTAAGATAATGTATGTTTTTTATTGTCTCTATTAATTGGATAAATCAAAATTGAAAGAACATTCATCAAATCTGGTAAATATATATTATAGAAATTTATTATGTTTTTTGTTTACATTTGTTTTATTTTCTATTAATATTCTTTATCCTCCAACCGTCATTTTTGCATAATTGTACATAGTGTTTTTTTGATATTAGTGCATTCGATTAATCCTGATCTGTGTTATAATAGGATGATAAGCGTTATGTGGTTGTTCTCTTTTTTTTTTCTTCTTTTTTTTTTCTTTTTTGTACAATTGTCTTGTACTATGAATAAGATAAATGATATAGTCAAAGGGAATCGATCGTTGACAATTTTTATTTCACGGTTATTTTCTTACATTGTTATTCTTGCCCATTCATCTCTTCTATATCGAGGTTGTCCACAACAATAATTCACTAGTAAAAGTCGTTTTTGTTTATAAATGTGTATATCATTAGTGAAGAAGCCTCGCGAGAGATAATTTATTCTCATATCACAATTAAACGACAAATGAATATGTTCAAATAATTATCAGCATATCTTTTATTTTCGCTAGTTGTTCTTTTCTTTCTTTTTTTTTGTTTTCTTTCTCTGCTCACCTCTATATTTTCATCTTAATCATAAAAGTTAATAATAGTAGTGTTAATAGGAAACTAATATATTTTATTACATAGATGTTTTTTTTTTTTTTTTGTTTCTTCATCATTATTTTGATATCTGGAAATGAATGATGTAACAGTTAACATTGTTCTTTATGAAAGATAGTGTCAGGTTATGTTTATTTCATTGTGTTGAATAAAGAATGTCCTTCGATGATAGCAGAAATAGTTGTTGATAGATATTTCGAATCATTCATCCATCATATATGATTATTATTGTTATAATCAAGATGCTTGCATTCATTCATAAAAAAAAACGTGTTGATCACCTGAAATAGCAAAATTAACTCGGATGTTTTTTTTGTCAAGGTCTTCTCTTTCTTTATATGAACATTTGGATAAAAGAAGAAGAAGAAGAAGAGAAAAGAAAAAATTTGATCCATTATACACTATACCTAGGCAAGGAGAAAAAAAAAAGAAACGAACGATAAAGAATATATATATGGGATTGTACTGATTTTTGTATAATAAGCATATAAAGGGAGAGCCTGGTAACCCATTATGTCAAGTCATTTTTTTTTATTTTTTTTTTTGAGTGGCATCATGCATTCAACCATAAACTATTTGCTGATGCTGGTTTTTTTCTCTCCTCTTTTTTATAATTGTTTGAAAAGTATTTAAAAAAAAAGAAACTGTTCGTTCGCTCTATGCCTACGCAGATAAAAACAGCATTGTATAAAAAAAAAAAAATTGACAGTCCCACTTTCTCTTTTCTCTTTCTCTTCGCGATACATCTCCATAATAAAGAAAGAATTAGATGTCAATGCACGATATTTATTGTAGATGGAATGCCGTCAATATTACTACCAATATGCAACAAAATAATAATAGTACTAGTAAGTATAATTAATTAAAAAATATATATAGAGAGAGAGAAACATAGTTTTTGTTTAGATGGTGGTGAAATTGTAGTTGCAAAATTCAACTATAATTCACAAGATAGTCATGAATTAACAATTACTAAAAATGAACGTCTTATATTACTTGATGATACATGTCTATGGTGGAAAGTAAAACGTGTCGATTCCGATGATACAGGGTAAGTACATAAAACGAATAAAACAGTTGTCGACTACTAATTTTAAGTAATTCATTTCCTATATACATAATCATCTCATTTGTTACTCCTAATTATAGTTAATCCATAAGTATGTATATGATGAATGTAAATTATTCATTGTATCTATACTCTTGAGACAATATTCTTTACAAATTTCTCATTCATAGTTTTTTTTTCTTTGTTTTAATTTCATTTTCTCAATGAAGATCACTTCATAAAATAATCATTTAAATGGTCATAATCTCCATCTGGCAAAGCAAAAAAAAAAAAAAAGAATAATTATCCTTGATCATACAACATCGACAAAAAAAGTTCATCTTTCTGTCATTTTGCAAATACATACACATCTGTCTCATCTTTCACATCAATATACATATATAGATATTTGTGTTATTATGTAAATCTTCAGTGTATTATATGATTATATTTTAATAGTAGATTTAATGAAAGTCTATATATATATATGTATGAATTTTTTTTTCTGTTAAGATACATTCCATCAAATTTTGCTCGACGTGAAAAACGTTCTTTACTTGATAAAATAATATCAAAACGTCTTGGAAAAAAATCCATTCTAAGCAATGGTCATAATAATGAACGTATTATTTCATCAGCACTTGTCAAATTTCGTTATGATGCAGAAAGGTAAATATAGAAAAAAAAAATTCCAAAAATTTGCTTATTCATTTTTGTTTTTGTTTTTGTTTTTGTATTTTTAAGTGAGGATGAAATTAGTTTAAATAAAGGTGTATGGGTAAATATTTTACAAAAAAAAACTGATGGTTGGTGGCTTGTACAATATGAAAAACAACTTGGATGGTTTCCATCAAATTATCTTATTGAAGTAAAAATAAAAACTTAAATTAAATTAAAATTTTTCTTTTTTTTTTTAATCTTAAAAGAAAACATCTGAAAGTTTAAATTCATTATCTTTATTAAATCAAATAAATAATCAACATAATTCTCCAGTATCATTATCATCAAATGGTCTTTCATCATCAAGTAGTGCTAATTCAAATTTAATTGAACATCATCAACACCAACCCCAACAAATTCGTCATAATTCACATCCATTACATATAACAAATTCAAATGATGAATATGAATTTGTTATAAAATCAACAAAATTAGCACATTCAGATGGTAAACTTGATACATGTAATAATGATAATATAAAGGATGAACAAAAAATCAATTCATGTTCAGCATTAATACAACATAATAATTATTCAACATCAAATATAATTAATGAATTAAAAACTTTAACATTAAATAATCCGCCATATATTAATGAAATTTGGTATTATGGTTTATTAAGTCGTGATGATGCTGAAAATTATTTAAAATTATATGGAAATGAAAAAGGCGATTATCTTATACGAGACAGTGAACGACGAGTATTGTGTTTAATTTTGGTCTTTTTTTTTTTATATTAAAATTCTCTTTTTTTTTTTATTTTGTTAATAGATTGGAAATTATTCATTAAGTATTCTTGATGATATGAATACAATTCGTCATTTTCGTATTGAATTATCTGATGATGGTAATCGATATATAATTGGTAAACGTTCATTTAATTCATTAAATGATCTTATTGAACATTATAAAAGTCATCCGGTATTTGATGCTGATCATAATAAGCTTTATTTAAATAAACCATTGATTATAACGAATTCTAAATATAAGTTATAATTAATTTTTTTTTTTTGTACATATGTTACGAATATATTTGAAAAAAGAAAAGAAAAGATAAGCTCAAAGAACATTTTTGTTTTGTTTGTTTTTTTTTAATAAGAAATATCTATAAAATTTATATGTTCGTTTTTTTTTCCTATTTGTTTGTTTTTTTGTCCTTGATATTAATGATGTGTTCGTTGCTTGATTAAGAGAAAAAAAAAGAAAAGAAAGAAATCATCCATTAAAAAATAATAAATTGCATATTATACATAGGAATCAATTATCAAGTGAATTGTAATTAATGAATATTTGATTCGAAGAAATAAAAATACAATATATTTTATCGATCTATTCAATAGGTTATTTATAGGTTAATAAATTGCGTAGTATTTTCAGTCAAATATGTTCATAAAGATGAAACAAGTTTTTTTTCTTTCTATTAGGATTTTATCTTGATACAAGTCTGTAGATATTTTTTTTTTGTTTCTAAAGATTAAGAAGTATGCAAAATTAATTCTATCTGTTTGATAGTTTAAATGATTTACTTATCTCAATATTCTCTATTGAAGAATTCAAAAATCAATTTACTCTTGTGAATAACATGACCTATTGAATAAATACTTATATATTATGAAATAATTGTTTTATTTGTAGGAATTTTTATATGACATTTGTTGATCAAACATATTAATTCAATGAATACTTAGATTTAAGTATATTTCAATAAAAATTTTTATTACTTATCAAATATTTAATTAATCAATAAATATAGGTTAAGTAGAAATCATTTTTCTTTAAAATATTCTTTTTATTCAAGATATGTTAAAAAAAAAGAACAAAATATCATAAAATAATTTTTCTTATATATATGCAAGATATTTATCAAAAAGTTCTTTTATGTTGAAATATCATATAAAATCTAATCTTTAATCACTCTGCTAATATTATAAAATATCGCATTGACCTAAGAGAAATCAATTATTTTCTCAGAAGACTCATCATATTACGTAAAAGTAATTTTTCAATATATGAAAATTTATCTATTCATCTTTCATCAAATATCAATCAATACAAGTAGGTCACCATGGGTTAGAGGTTGCGTTATTCTGACACGTAACTACAAGATATTATGTTTACACCTCAGTACCACATTAACCATAGAATAACCCTCGAAAAGTTTGTCTCGAATTACTCATCCGATAACATGTTGACTACGTTGTGACATACAACAGCTGCTCTCACAGGTAGTTAGTGTGTACGAGAAGCACAAGAATTCTGTGTCAAGTTGCCCTTCTGTATAGGTAGCACGAAAATATCAGAATATTGCATCTCTCGTTAGATAGCCTTAAGGCAAACGTATTCTTCTTTCTTTTAAATAGGAATAAATTTTCAAAATCTAACTGCTTCTGCTCATTAATCTTCACATAATTTACAATGTCTTTGTATGTATATATATATTTTTTTGTTCGTACTAAAAGCATAGTGCGTGCAATGTGAACAATCGCGATAAATAACAAGAAACGCTTGAGGGATGAAAATAAAGCCAAATGAACAAAAGAAAAAGTAATAAATAAAATGAATACACTACAGACAAACGAAAAACTAAAAAGCAACAAGAACAAAAAAAAAAAAACTTTTTGCGTGTGCAATGCAAATATAATCATACAGGAAAAAAACACAGAAGAAAAATATCATCATCTGACTTGTCAGTGACATGTCTGTCATTGAATGGCGATCAGATATATATATATATAAAAACGAATTTCTCGTTTTTCCGACAAAAAATAAAACAACTGACACAGATTAATAAAAAGAAAAACTGAGAGAAAAATTTCCTACGTGTTCTCTTCTATTTTTGACGTACGAAATCCAACAAAAAAAAAATCACAAAGAGGAGAAAAAAACAACAACTTATTTTTGTTCCTTTTTTTTGATAGTTAGCTGTACATTGACAATTATGGACGGCGATGTACGGATGGATAAAAGACAAAAACGAAAAAAAAAAAGAGAAAAATATATGCATTTCGGTAGCAACAAAGAGTGATGTGCACCGGTATAGAGATTCTCTTGTTGATAAAAATGAGATTATATCTTTTTTTTATTGTTTCGAACATATCATTTCAACTTGAGACAAATGCATATCTTTTTTGTTGTTTTTTTTTTTTGAATGAAACATTCGAATTTTAGGACATTTCAGTTGACATCGCTTGTAATGGATGTGATTTTCTCATTGATCTTGAACGATGTATACGAGTTTTACGTATATGATTAGGACTTGGGCCTTAAAGAAAAGAATAATTTTAATTAATAAAATTCGCTCGTCTTTGTTTTTTTTTTATAGTTACCAATATAGCTGAGTAAAACAGGCAAAAATATTAGGCCATGAGCAGCACCGAATGAAACAATGCAAATAAACATGCGAAAATAAAATATATGAAAAAGTTGAGAATGTGAAAAGCCAAGTACAACAATGCCGCCAATTTTTGTTAATGTTATACCGCTAAAAACCTAAATTAAGATCAAAGAAGAAAAAAAAAATTTTATTTTATAAAATTTTTCTAATCATATATAAAATAAATAATGTTAACATACTGAACTACCCATATATGCAAGTGCTTTTTCAGCTCGTTTTAAACGTGAACCTTTAGCTGATAAAATAAAATCACGACATATATGAGCACAAAATTCAAGTGATATGCCAACTGACATAACCAGATTGACAAGTGAAATAGCATTCATTTCAATATTCCATATATACATCATGGCTATCATATCACAAGTTATCCTAAAAGAAATATACGATCAAAAGTTTGAATTTTATAATGATTCACACAAGTTTTTTTTTCAATTATCGTAAACGCTAATAAAAATCAAAATAGTAATTCTCTACACAAGTCATTATGAGGACTCTTATTAGTGTTTACGATGCGTGAAAAATATTTAAAAATAAATCTGATTGAATAATTTTCAAAGCAACTGTATATTTAAATCTTTTATGTTGAATAATTTCATTCAAATGATAAACTAAGTCTTTTTAGACAAATGTTGATTACTATCATTTTATGGAAATCAAAAAATTCATTTGAAATTTCTTACATAGCAATAGTTAATGTTATAATAAATGCTGACATTATATCAAAACCAAGTAAAATAAATGTAGCAACAAAAATAGCTGCTGCTGATATAGATAAATTCATAAATACATCATGCCAAATAGTTAAATATTGTTCATAAAATACATAAAATATACTACAACGAAAAACAAAAAAAAATTATGATTATATGAATTAAATTATTCTCTTCATACCTGTATGGAAAAACTTTCACATCATAACCAGCTGTTTGTAATGTTCGTGTGATAGTATCTGTTAGAATATATGCTTGTTTCATTGCTTCTATAAAATCACCTGAACTTATTAAAAGACTATGATAACCCATAATTAAACTTGTTTCTACAGTTTTATCTTCGTCTGATAATGCTACACTATTACCATGTGCAGCATGACCACCTTTGGCACATTTATAATTTGGATTATCTTTCAAAAAATATGGTAAAAATGTTGTAAATTCATAATGTGTTAAAGCTTCACGTGTTGTACTACGTGTACAAGGATGACAATTTGCATTTAATGGTGCATTTGTTGAACAAAAACCTCCTGTTGTTTCATGTAAACGACAACATGGTGTTGAACCACGATGACGTAACCAATCATAATAATCATCAAGCCATGTTGTACCTATTTGTGCAATACGTGTTTCAGATGGACGTAACGATGCAATACCTAATTGATTTGCCATTGATTTCGATGAACAACCCGCACTTGCACATATCATATTACTTGCATTTATATTACTATAATCAATACCTAGAAAAAACAAACAAACAAATAAATAAATCTATAGAAATTTATTTATTTATTTATTTATTTATTATTACCTTGTGTAATAACGAAATAGACAGGTGGTCCAACAGCAAAATATTCTTTTAATGCTGAAAAATAATCAATCATATATGAATCTTTTGCCATTGTTATATTTTGTTCTAAACCAACTTTAACATATGGTAATAAAGCAATACTTAATGCAAGCCATGTAAAAAATATAAATATAACTGTTGGTCGTACATAACAATTCATTATAAATGGTGCATAATATTTTTTAAATAAACTAAATAAAAATCCATCCATTTCCATTAAATGTTCTTCACATGGTTCTATTTTTGATGATTGACGAAATATATTTTTATTTGTTTCATCAGATTTTATTGATCCTAATGGTGTTTGTAATGGACTTTGATTATTTGATATAGAAGGTCTTTTTTTACTTATCTTTGGTTTAAACCAACTAACTCGTGGTAAACTTAAACAACGAGGTTGACTATTTGTTTTATCACGTGAAATTTGTAAACAACAAAAAACATCAATACGATTTTCAATTGTTCGTTTATGATCAAGTGTAATAAATGTAACAAATATTGTTATTTGAAGAAAAAAATCAATTAAAACAGATACAGCTGCATATAAACTGAATAAACGAACAGCTGGCATAGGTGTTAATGCACCGAGAAAAAATGCAATACTTTCAGATACAGATGTTAATAACATAGCTGGACCTACACGACCAACAATACGACCTATTTGTGATTCAACATCTTCATTGAGTAAACGTTGATCACGTTGAATTGATTGAGTTAATATAAATATATTATCTATTGAATAAATAAACGAAAATTGTTTTGTTCAAATTTTTCTATAGACATTTATTTATTTAGAAAATTCTGATAACAATGAATATTTTGTTTTTCTCGATAGAACTAATCAAATAATTTCTAATACAATGATTGTGTATTTCACGAACAAAACTGATCGACTTGGTAGAATTATCCTTCTAACTTTCATAGAACATTCAAAAATACTAACTATGAAATATACATAAGAATAGTAATGTTAAATTTCATTATAACTATCTATAGATGTCTTAATCGTGTTTATAAGATTTCAATAGTTTGTTGTATGTCTATACCATAAGGAATTAATATATAATCTAAAAGTTCGATCTATAATGACTTAATGTAAATAAGAAAAAAAAAGAACACATTTTTTTTTCATTGGTCAGAAAAAAACAAAATTTTTGACATTTCTCTTTCTGGGCTTGAAAAATCTTTCTTTCTTAGTAACTAAAACAAAAGTCTTTATAATCTTACATACAAAGATAAAACATTTAGTTAACAAGAAATAAATAATTAATTATATCCTATTAGAATTTATTAATTGGCTATGTAGTTCGATACATATCCACAGGGTACAGTCTTCAAACCTTGATATCATCAGTCAAGTCACTAAAGGCTATTTATCTAGCATTACTCGTCTGATAATATACCGATTACGATGTGACATAAAACATCCGCTCCTGTGATTAGTTAGTGACAGCATCGTAGACTATAGCCCATCGGATCATATCCGGACCCGATCGGGTTCGGGTTCGGGTCCGGGTATGATCCGATGAACTCTACCCTAGACCGCAAGGTAACCAAAAAGCATGGACGCATTCTTCCTTTCTTTCTAATCTTACATTATAATTCAATAGAAAATTTTCTATTTTTAATGTTTTTTTTTTTTTTTTGACTTACCAACACCAACAGCTAATACAAGAAATGGTATAACTTCAAATATAATCAATGTTGTTGGAATTTTCATATATGAAAAAATTCCAACACTAGCCCATACACTAAGAGTAACGAGTGCAACACCGGCAATACCTAATGAAACTTTCATATCAACAAAAAGATGTCGAATATTTCTTATTCGACCTAATGCAATAGCAATATAAAGAAACATAATTAAATATGATATAAGAACTGTTTTTATATCTGATTTTGATTCACGTTCAATTTCATCTTCAATTGATCGTTCAGCACGATATTTAACATCAAACCATTTTGAATTATATGTTTTCATATATTGTAAAAAATGTTGTTCCCATAAAAGTGTATCTTCAAGTTGTTCATTTACATTTTCTTTATTTTTACGTTGATTATTTATTATTATTGTTATAATAAGTGCTTGAGCTTTAGCATAATCTGGTACACCATCATGTGATGGAAAGGCACCAAGTACCATATAAGGATCAATAGGACCACCAAATTTACCCATACATGTACGTTGAAATGATTTTGTTTGTTGTGTTAATGGTGCTTGAATACATTCAAGATATTGTGATGGATATAAACGTTCTTGTGAAAGAAATGTTAAATTATTTTGATGATATTGAAATAATGATAATATAGCACAATTATTATTATCAGGTTCAAGTGGTTTATAACATGTATTATTTAAATAAATTGTTTTACCAGATGCAGCTGTTACATTAAAATTTTCAACAAATAATTGTAAACGTAATGCATCAAGAAGAAAATTTCGTTCAAATACAGGTCCAAATGTATATTTTTCTTCAGCTTCCAATGGAGTTTTATATAGAAGACTAATATTTTTTTTATTTTTTGGTACAAGTATTAAATGTGCAATACGATAAAATGGTCTAAAAGAAATGTTTTCTTTTTCGTTTTTTAATTTAAAAATACATAAAAAACAAAAAAGACTTTTTTTTTACCCAAATTTTTCATCGAAATATGCTTTTTCTTGACGTGCTCGAGAATTTGATGCTACCCAAAGATCTACTGGATCTGTAGTTACTGTATAATAACGACTACCAAAACATAAAACGAATATTATAGTTAATACAGGTATAATTGTATATCTTGGATTGTAAGCACAGAATCGACCAATACTAAAAAGAGAAAAGAATTTTGTTTTTATTTGCTTTATTCGATAGAAAAATAAAATACATACACAGTAAATATATGATGTAATCCATCATCAATTTTCATTCCTATGTTATCTAAGAAACCACCTTGTTGTTCACTAAATGATGCTTCAGAATCAGATTCATCTTTAATAGGACCTCCATTGAGATTCTTTTTTTCACCTTCGATTTCATCTGTTTTATCATTTCGTATATCTAATAATAAAAACAACCACAAAAAAAAAAAACATTTTCCTATATAAAATTTAAAATTTTCTTACTTTCAACAAGAGAACTTTTTTTATTACGTTTCAAATTCGGTATACATTCATATAGACATGCAAAAATAAATATAATAACAAATACACTATAAAGTCCAATAGCAATAATTGTTATAATATGAAGCTTATATATTTTTTCTTTAAATTTTTCTATGAATGTACCATTTTTTGAAATAAAACTTTCTTTTTTTGTATGATTTATTTTTGGACACATAGCATTACAATCCATACATGTACATTTTTCTCTTGATAAATGTGGTAATACAACTGGTTGATCACAAGCAAACATTTTTGCTTTTGATGGTTGAAATGTACGTTTTATTTCTTTATCATAATATGTACCATTAACAAAAATAAAATCAATTTTAATTGGTGATTGAGCATTTTTTAAACCAATATATTGAAATAATTTTTTAACATCACATGCACGATTTAATGAACCACATAAAACATCGACAGCATATTGAAAATTAATACGAACACTCCTTTTTGAAAATGGAAAAAAAAAATTATTATTCAAATTAAATAATAAAGATGCTTTATTTTTTTTATTACCAGCATGAATTAATAAAATCATTCGCTTGTTCTTCTGATATAAAATATCGTAGTTTTTTAATAACTTCAACTGTTTCAATAGGTTTTGTAACAACTTTTGATGTAGCTTTATCTGCATCATGTTCTTGTTCTTCTTCAGGATCAACATAATCAGTTAAAGCCCAATCTTTTCTTATAACTTCATCTTCATTACCTTTAATAGAAACTTCTTCATTATTAGGTCGAGTTATATTGAAAATTTCTAATGGCCATATAAATTGATCATGATCTGGATTACAAGACATTTCACAAAAAATACGTAAAAAATTAAAATAACATGATGGACATCGACCAATTAAATTATCAACAATATATTTAAATTTTTGTATTTCAGTTAATTGTTTTCGATCACAACATAAAAGAGGTGAAACACCTTAAAAAGAAAAACAAAAGTTTTTTTTTTTTCTTTTATTTTTGATCATAAAAAGTCAACCTTCAGTAGTTGGAATATGTGGACACATTTCATTTAAAAGACTAATGTCTGTTAATGGTAATGGTTTTGGTTGACCATTTCGATAAACTTGATTAAAACCATCACGTATACCTTCATACCAAATACATTTGGTTGAAATATATTTAAACTATAAAACGAAAAAAACAAAAAGAAACAATTATTTATTTCGAAAACAAAAAACGTTTAACTTACACAAATAAATATAATCAATGATAGTAATTTGTATTTCATTATACTATATAATGAAATTTGACCTATATAATGTTATATTATATTGAAAAAATAGTCATTTTTTGTGTTTTATTTTGTTTTTTTTTTATTTCTCTTTACCTGAATGTTGTATTTCGTTGTTGGTATCGTAGCAATGTGAATTATAGAAAAATATGCCTTGTTGTTTTTCTTTCTTTCTGTGATCGATCAGAAAATTAATTCATATTGTTAATATTTGAAGAAAAGGGAAGTAGAATTTTAAAAATATATTATAATACTAATTGATCTGAGATAATATGAAAAGAATGTATTTGATTAAAATTTGACGTCAAGGTGCGAGAATGATAGATGGATAAATATTAACATTAAATGATTTCGTATAGGTGTGATATTTTATGTGATGAAGAAAGAACCTTGGATTTTGTTGCTTCTTTTTTTATGGATTCATTATGACTTCATCATCAGCTGTGCAGATGCTATAATTTATTCATTTTTTTTTTCTATTTCTTTGCTTTGCTTTCGTATAAATAGAAGTATGAACCAATCAATAGCGAGACAAAACATCGAACCATACGTCTCTCTTCCTCTTCATATATTAACATCCATCGCAAAATCTTGCTGTTTTCTTTATTCTTCTGTACCTCACGCCCTCTCTACTACATTCCATTTACAACTCGTCTAATTTTTTTCTTTTTATGATATACTATTAAAGAACTAGAGTATTTGAAATTTTTTTTTGTCTTTCTTCTTTTATATTGTCATGCCGACATGGGAATCGTGCCAACTCATTATTTTCAAATGCAAAAAAAAAAAAATAACTACCCTGTATACAAATATAAATCTTATTTTGATGTATTTTGAAAGAAAAACGTTGCTAACAAAACAACAAAAATTTAAGTGGATTAATTTGTTAAGTCACTGCATTTTAAATTCTCTATGGAATTATTCATTTTTCCACGAAATATTTCAATTATTCATTTTATGTTTATATAAGAAAACCACTCAGTCTTTTTGAATAGTAACCAATGTAACAACAAAACAAAACATGCCAACAAAATCTTAAAAGCATGTAAACAATAGGTTTTTTTTTCAAGTATAATAGAAATAGATTTTGAAATGTAAATTATCATCGATCGATCTTTTTCTTTTTTCGTTTTCGAAGATCATAATTTAAATCAATCGACAAATATTTTCTTTAAATACTTTCAATCAAAAATAGATATTGATCTGTTTTTTTCGTTATTAATATTATCAGCAAATATTGGTTGTACTATTAGTAGTAAAAAAAAATATCAATTTATATGAAATAACAATCTGATGTTGATGTTTAATAGTAATTTATTTTTTATTTGCTCATCATCATAATTGATATATATCAACGCGTATGTTTTTTTCGTTGCTAGATAAAATAATTAGAACAACAGTAACAAGACAAAAAAAGAGAATAGTATATGATGAGACGTATAATTTTTTGGACTTGTTTGTTTTTTTTTGTATTTTCTTTTTTATTTGTTACCACCATGCTGTGGACTGAGAGCTTCAACGATCGATCGTGTTAACTAAAAGAAAAAGAAATCATGATGAATAATTATCGTTATCACAAATATTTATTTTTGGCAGAAAAACTTGATGGTATTTTTTAATTAGAACTTAAAGTCTTTTTTAATCACAAAAAGAAAAAGCGCAATGTCAAAGAAAACTATTTCAATTAGTCCGAATTTCTTTAACAAAAGATTATTGAGACATTTCATGAGCACACATTCTCGTCTAAATTATTGATTGTCGAAATTCAAATAACTATACAATAGACTTTAATATTTAGTTTTTGACTCTTGATGAACATATTTATTGTAAACGACAGAATAATCTTTCTCGATTTTTTTAAAAATTGTTCATATTCAATAAATAATTTATGAATGATCTCATCTATCATTTTTTCTTATTATTCACTTGTCATCTAATATTAACAAATAATTTATTTTTTCAGTTGCAAATTATCACATACTACATGTATAAATGAAGCAGAAATGAAGAACGTTCTTTTGTTATACGAGTTTATACTTATATAAGGTTATTCAGTGAAATTGTTAATAAGAGAATATTATTTCAATGAAAAAAAACAAAACACAAACAAACAACAACATACTTCTTCATATTTAAGAATTTGTTTAACAAGATAATCACTATAACGTCGTGTTATTTTTGTATCAGCAATATAAATGATTTCCTATAACCATAAAAGTAATAATAGAATTCTAAAAATAACTTTTTTTTTTTACTTTATCTATATAAAAATCAATATCAGCTGATGATTGAAAATCTTCTTCTGTTTTTTGTGTTGCATCATTACCACTTAATTTATGCTTAAAACAAAAAATTAAACAACATAATGTGACACATTTTTTTCATAAACAAACTTTAAATGTTAATAATATTGGTTTAACTTCTTGCGGTGTCTAAAAATGAAGTAAAATTTATAGAAAAAAAAAAAGAATTTAGCGTTTAATTACTTTTTCCATAAATGTTGCTAATTTTTCAATATTCATTGTTGTATATAATTTTAAATAACTATAAACAAAATTAAATTTTAATTAAAAATTAAATAAATTGAAATTTTTTTGCTTACCTTCGAACATCAGGAATATATGCTTGTTCTTGAAGTTCTTCAGTAAATACTTCTATTTGTCGATTGAATGGTTCCTAATATGAAAAAAAAAAAAACAAATTAAATTTTTCTTCTAATATAATTTTATTATTCTTACCGCCCATTGTGTATCATTACGTTGTTCAAAAATTGTTGGTGCAGGACTAATAAATTTTGGACAAGCTAAATATTAAATCAGTATGATAAAAATACTCGACTTGAATTTTTGAATAGAAAAAGATCTAAGCTTATGAAATTGAAATTTTATATATGAATACTAAAAGAATTGTTAATATGCTTAGTAAAATAGATAATTCAACAATGCATAAGAAATTAACTTTTCTTCGTTGAGATCTACGTTTGAATATGGAAAGTATTTTTCTTTTTTTTTTTTGTTTTGGTTATTATAGTATAAAACTTACAGAAAAACAACACTATGTCGAGTCTCAGTTGATTTTCAAAGAGAAAAATTTAAATATCTACGCATTACAACTTAGCGCTTCAAAAAATACAAAGATTTTTTGAATGAAAATATGTCTATAGATAATTTATTTTTAATCATCTCTTGTCAGATTATATTTCATATAGTCATTGATTAAACGAATAAAATGAATAATCTCCCAGCTAGAATGAAAAGCCATGGTCTTGTAGAGGATGTATCATTTTCTTGAATATAATATCAAATGTGACATTTTTTTTCTTATTAAGAATCTAGTTCCGATGTATTTGTTTAAATTAATCATAATCAATATTTTTTGCTCTATTCGAAATTGTAGTCAAAAGCCATGAAGTATAAAATAAAAGATTTCGGAATTGATAGAATATTCGAATTTTCTAGGTTTTTTTTTCGATCAATTCCGAAAACTTTAACTATATTCTTAATATTGAAAAAACATCATTTTTGACATCATGGTCTAGGAATTATCGCATCCTTCTAGCCTTCTATTGCGGGCTTGTTTTTTTGCTAACATTTACCTAGAAAATCAAGGTTTTTTTTTTTTTGAAAAAACTTTTGTATTCAAATAGCATATTAAACTATTTTATTTAATTCTTCAATAAACAATTATAGATGCTCGTATTTAAATCAACAAACTTCTTTGTATTCAGTACTGTTTTACTAAACTGATGAGAATACGAAAAATGAATAGATAATTTCTAATGCTTAGAAATTCTTCTTTTTTTTTCCTCCTCTTTTATAAAAATAACTTGATTTACCATATGCAAAACTATCTCGAAATGGTAATTTTCCATCTGGTCTAAATATAACAAAAACAAAATATAAATAAACTATGCAAAACATCTAAACTTACCCAACCCAAAGTAATGGTTTAGGTAATTTATCAAGAAATTTTTCTCTTAAATGTAAATAAATTGTTTCATCAATACGCATTGGATTTAATGTCAAACAAATAGCAAGTAATGTCATCATTTGATCAGCTGTTTTATTAACCTATATATATATATATATTTTTAAATCAAATATTAAATTAGAAAAACTATTAGTTAATTTTTGTTTGTTTTTCTTATCTTACTGCATCATTTTGAAATGTTTGAGCAACTATAATTGGTTTACTACGTTGAATATAAAGTAATGTATCAACAAAAACTCTTATAGCATCTTCATAATTTCTCATCATTGTATAACAAAAACCTGCATGATAATTTGTTGCTACAATACAATGAAATACTTGACAAACATCATTCTAAAAATACAGCAACAAAAAAATCATATTTATTTTTTCTTAAATAAAATCTACCTGTTTTGTAACATCTAAATCAATACATTCAATTGTTTTTAATGCCATATAATAATCACTTGTTAATGTATGTAATTTTAATAAACCAATTAAACTAAAATATCCAAACATTTTATAAAGATTTGTTTGACAAAATAAATCACTACCAGGATTGAATGATACTACATAAAAAACAAAAAGAAAAAATCAACTATATAAAAATAAAGAATTGATTTCTCGTTTTTTTTACCTCCTTTTTTTGTTGCCTCTAATTGTTCAACAATTCGTGATTTATCAACAAGACTATGCATAACATTAAGTACAGCATGAACATTCCAAATTTTTATATTTCGTTTTAATTGTTCAATATCATCATCAGTTCGTTTAGCTAATTTTGTACGAAAATTACAAAATGATTGAAATTGATAAATAAATTCTTCGATTATATCCCATAACCATTGATCGGGTAATTCAATTTTCAATGGTTGTTCTTTAGCTAAAACCAAATTAAATAGATCAATATAATTCACATAAGATTCTTGTCGTTCTTCTAATGAAACACCACCCTATACAAAGAAAAAAAAAATTAAATTAAACAAAATAAATAAATAAAGATTTTTTTTTAAAAAGTTTTTACCGGTTTTGATGCATAAATATGTCGAAAGTACATTTCTTTGTATAAAGTAAGAAATAATGGATCATCTAAAGAGAAATAATAAGATAACATAAGTGAAGAAGGAAATCTTTCATGAATTATTTTGTTATTTGAATTGTTCAAAGTTCAAAAAAAAAACAGTTTAACAAAAATATATTTTCTAGTTATCGTAATTTAACAGATTTTAGATCGATCGATTACAGATATAGCTTATCTCTTTCTTTTTGCATCCTGTTATAAATGCTTGTCGACCTTAAGGCATCCCTTTTTTGGGGTTTCTGAAGAACAACTCCCCAAAAATATTTGAAACTTTCAGGATATTTGGAGTGCCTATGTTTTTTGGTTTCTTTTTATCTCCTTCCATTCGAATAAAAAAAACCAAAATACTGAACGTACCTGAAAAAATACATGTTTTTTTCTTCCTAGAGATTTTTTTTCTGTAAAATCTGCCGAAAATCAATGGTGTAATATTTTTTAAAAGAAAAAGAAGTAGGTACCTCAAACAGTGTCCAATACCTGTAAAAAAGAGTTTCAGATCGATCGAACATACTATGTTGGCAAGACGGGAGTGATTCTGTACTTTTTTTTTTATATAAAAATTGATCTCGAGAAAAGCAAAAAAACAAATTTTCATGTATTTATCAAGACTTTTTTCGTCAACTAAAGTGATAAAAAACTGGCCGTATTCGATGACGTTAGAAGTCTTTGATGCATACTATCAGCACCTTTAGAAATTATCATTAGAAGAGTTTTGCATACAAAGAAAAATCGTAGCACGAGTTTTTCTGACAAGGATTTCGAGAGTTGAGTTTAATGAAAGTACTAATTAACAACAAATAGTTCTCATTTATATGGCATTTGACAGAGGACACTTCGAAACTATATTAACGATGAAAAACCCAAAATCGAAAAAATTGTGATTTTAACATCCAAAAGACAAAGTTCCCTTAAACTAATTAATTTGTATGAAAGATGAATGAATTTAATCATCTCTCACTGGTAAGCTGCATAGCAGACCTCGAAATCAGACCATGTTTTGATGGCCCGGTATTCACCGGGCTAGAATTTGCTCGTGCCCACTCGACCCACCTTCTGCTCTATTAGAATCTGGTCTGATCCGCTACATGATGTAAATTCACAATCACTGTAGTCATTTATTAGAATATTGTAAAACGTTTATTATGATAGCGATCACAAGGTGAATAAAGTTAGGCAATTTTAACGCTTGAAACAACAGCATGAGGAAGAAGCTGAATTACTTATTGAACCGAAAGAGCAAGATGCATTCATCGGTATTCAAACTGCTTGAAGACTACCATTTATTAACAAAAAGCTTTCAAGAATAAAATGCACACTGGTTCATTTCTAATAGCCTGATCGATTACTATTTTTAGTCAGAATGTTAATTTTAGTATACAATTATCACTATGTACCTTCATTAACACTTATGTCACTTAATAAAATTGATAGTGTACTCGATTTTGTGCGTGAATGACGAATATCATCGAATCCAATAAATGCTCTGCTTTTATTTATTGGTTAAATAAATCTTTCAAAATGTGGCATAATGAAAATTCTTGATTGCTATCAATTGTGAGGTACAAAACTATGTAAAAAATTTTGGCGAAAAATCAAAATAACATCAATTATTTTTGAATAAAAAAAACCGATAAAATAACGTTATTTAACTCTGATTGTTATCCAATTTTTCAACTTTAAAGATAGATTTTAGCTTATTTTTGGTCAATTAATTAAATTTTTTTTTTTGACTAAAACTATATTTAGTTACAAAAAAAATTGATTAAAATCGGATTTTTTCTGTTTTCTTACGTCGAAAATTCTCTTGAAAAAAGAAATAAAGTTTGGACCCGACGGCCCATTTCGAGGTTTGATGCATATCAATAAACTAATTCATCGATTATGGAAATGACACCAATACTCTAATGGATTTTAGACTGACCTACGAGCCGGATCAATTCAGTGAAGAGTTCATAAGAAATCAAACTTATTCAAGTTTAACTATTCCTTTACAGCTATAAACAATCTTTATACCTTGAGCCTCTTTACTTTCTTTAGTCTAAAGATACTAAAGGGAATAAAAATATATCTTTTGCTTATAAATCTTAAAAATAATACTTTCAAACTATTCATATATTTCCCACACTTTTGCAAAACATTTTCATTGGATTCGATCGTTTTTCTTATATAGATTTCAGTTTCGAAAAAGTTCATTTGTACATTCGATTGTCTGTTTTAATAATGTTATACAACACATTAACTTTCTATAATCAAAGATGAACGTCTTTTAACAGTCGAACTTCAAAATTTTAGCAATTATTCTTTAAAACTTATTGAATGAAAGAGATTGTGAAGATAATTCGATCGATTTCAAAACGACATTTCATACAAAGTTTACTTTCTATACAATTAAATCACTTCTCATAAGAATTATATTATCAATAAAATCAAAGCAAACCTCCAACGTGTTCTCTCAATGCTTCAGCTGACGGCCATTCTGCACTATAATTTTGCATCATTGTTGCATAACTAAAAAAAATCGATAAAACTTATCTCAAAAAAAATACATCGATTTTCTTTACTTTGTATTATAATAATGTTGAACAAGTGAAACAGGTCCTTCATGAATAGCTCGACGAAATTCTGCAAAATGTTCAATAATTTCACGTCGACTAATACTAGAAACTCCACCACCATATGATCCTCCAAAGTAATGATCCATTTCTATTAAAAATTAAATTGAATTATAAATAAAAAACAACAACAACAAATTAACCTTGTTGATTCATTGTTGATGGAGCCGTGGTACCACCATATGGTGTATACTATAAAGAAAAAAAAAAGATTTTTTTTTCAATCAAATAGAGACTATTTTTGAAAAATTTCTTTTCCTTACTTCAAAATCCATCATGATTATATGTTGTTATAATTTTGATTTTGGAAAAAAATCTAGAAATATTTTCTATATATTTTTTTTAATGCATACTTTAAGGATCAAAACAATATCCTATCAAAATATCAACAAAAGAAACTTTGTTTCTTATGTTCATAATTGATTTGAAAGACCAACAGATAATACTCTTGTTTGGCTTTTCTGTTTTCCTTTTCGCTTTGTCATAATGTTAAAAATAAGAATAAATCAAGAATGTAAAGAGTTCGTTTGAAAAACAGAAAACAACAAAGCTAAAACAGTTGCTGTACAACATAAGAAGGTGACAACACGTTGGAACGGGAAAAAAAATAACTATGTTCGATATATTATATATGTATATATCACACTAATCTATTTTTGACCAATACCAAAATTTGATCCAATTTGTGCTGATGGTCCAAGAAGAATCTAATTAGTTTTTAAAAAAAAATTTTTTTTTATTTTTATATATGTATATATTGAAATTTACTTGACGTGTTTGTGCTGCTTCCATTTCAGCAACTTGTGAAAATTCAAGTTGAAGAAGAATTGGTAGAAGAAGAACAATAAATGATGAACTACAAAACCAAATGGTTTTTTTCATAACTTGACCAACATATTTTGCATAATGATTAGAATTTTGAAATAATGTTTGTAACCAATTAGGAAACATTTCAGTAAGACCATAAAGACGTTCAATTAATGTTTCATCTTCGAATTCCTTTTAAATATTAAATTCTTTTAGAAAAACAAAAAAAAATTTTTTTTTTTATTCAATATTACCTCAGAATCTTCATGATTTAATCTTGTTGTTTGTATAGGAACTATTGGTGGATTAAGATTTCTATTATCGATTGAAAAATGCCCAGATATAAAATTCAATTGATCATTTATTTCAGAACCATTTGAAGGAATTATTTCAATATCATTTTCATCAATTGAAGTTACTAAGGCAGATATGTCTTCTTCAGTCATCTAGAATATTTCAAAAATCAAAATTTTATTTTCTATAAAGTAATTACAAAGATTAACATATTTTTTTCTTACTGTTCCAAGATTTATCAGTACTTGTGTTTGACTGGTTGTTATATTCTATCAAAAAGACCAAACGATTGACTTGATTTAGTAGATGTCGTGCATAGAAAAATTACGCGCTTTCTTTTTCTTTTTAAATTGCAATTAATAATTTTAAAGAAAATGTTTCAAAAGAAGATTATTTGGTTATTTAAAAATATATTGAAGTGATAAGGAGGTTATTACTAGAGTATAGTACTGATCAATGGTAATCAAAACTATACTGTTAGTTTCAATTTCAAAGAGAAAAATCTTTTTTTTTTAAATGGATAAATATATTGTAAGTATAACATTTTAATTCGTATGACTTATATCTAAATTATTTTTTTTAAGATTGACGAATGTCTTGGCTTAGATACACTTGCCGAACGAATTGTTGTTCGAGAAAAAGATTCAAATAAAACTTATTTATTGTCAAAAGTTAGTTTTTTTTTTCTTATTATTATTATAAAATTTATTCAAATTAATTACTTTAAATTTTAGATGGAATTAATGGATATGGCAACAACTGTTGTAGCATATCAAGAAGTAGAAATCTTAAATAATTCTATTTTGTTTTCCATTGTGTCTTTTTTTTTGTTCCAAATTAGTATCTTCCTTTAATGAAATTATCATATGAAAATGTTGCATTATATTTTGATATATTTACATCATTTGATCATAAAGTATGAAGAATTTTGTTTTTCTTTTCTCAATAAATTATTTCCAAAAAATTTCTTTAGATTAGTGCAACATTTATTAATCTTATATCTGAATATTTTCCAATGGGAAATCTTGATATATATTTACAAAAATTACGAAATAATAAAAATGCACTTAATAATCAAGTAAGATTATGCAAAAATAAAAAAAAAAGAGAATTTAATTAAAAATTTTCATTTCTTCTATTTGTTAGTTAGTTGATATCTGGTTTGCACAAATTTTAGATGGATTAATGTTTTTATGGAATCAAAATATTGCTCATCGGTAAAATAAAAAATTTTCTTTTTCTCTCTTTTTTTTTTTTTTGAATAATTATTATTTTCTTTCGATTTTAAATATAGAAATTTAAAACCAGATTGTATTTATTTACGTGGTGAAAATAATGAAGAAAATTGTTCATTAATTATTGGTGATATAATTCCATTATCAGTTGCTTATGATCTTCGTATGCGAACACGATTACCTCGTCGTATGTATTCATATCTATTAAAAGATATTTTCTTTTGTTTTTGAATAATATGAAATCTAGGTTTATCAATTGATGAATCTAGTTGTATTAAATGTCATAGTAAGAGAGAGAGAGAGAGAAAGAAAATAATGCATATTAGTTTCATGAAAAATTTTTGCTGTTGATTGCTTTGTTTTTTTCATTATGAATTTAAAATATATTTGATTCATTGATTTTTCTTTTTGTTTAGGTGCTCTTTCATATACAGCACCAGAAATATTGGAATCAGGACAATATACAATACAATCGGATATATATTCATTGGGTTGTATACTTTTAGATATGATTACATGTGATACATTAACTGTAAGAAATCATTATAGGAAATGTTCTTTTTTTAAATTGTTTTATTTAAATAGGATGAAGAAACATTACAATTACGTATATGTGCTCGACATGATGCTAGTACATTGTCTGAAACTCTTCAAAATTTACAAAATGTGAGTTAATAGAAGATTTTATAGAAAATATTTGTTTTTATTTTGTAATTAGGTACATGAAACAATACCAGCATTGATCGGTCAAATGGTAGTTCCGAATCCTGAAGAACGTCTCAAAGAAGAGTAGGTTGAAATTATTCAAATGTATCTATATATTATTGATTATAATCGAATCTATCTTTCAGAAGTAATAATATTAGAAGGTTATATAGATCTGCATAGTCGTTGTTGATTAATTCTGATCAAATTTTTAGAAAAATTATCTAACTTTAAACTTTCATAAATTTCTAGAAAAATTCAAATAGATAACATTGAACATTAAGAATCAGTACATCGAACTTACAGCAAATCATGGCTGGTGTTTGAGAGTAGAGATGTACAGGGTATGGTAAGAGTTAGAAAATTTTTCTCACTAGAGAACATTATCAGGTGTCCGCATCCTTATTAGCTGATATTTTGTCGGTAAGTAGGCCTTGGTGAGCTATGAAAAGCATCCCAAGGGTTTATGATCATGGGCGTTTCTTGTCGGATTTTGAATTGTTCGAATATTTTCCATGCACGTGAAAGTAATGGCAAATACTTTTTGATGATTATTAAAAGGTAGAAGACTGTAAGTGTTTTTGCGAGTGAACTTTATGATAACTAGATTATGCTAGACGTACCAACGTGACAACTTTAAGAAGTTCACAGATGATTGATCTCAAAATGTCACCATGATTTTCTCACAGCATACAAACATTTGTCGAACTGCTGAATAGTGTACATTTAGTTTCATACGACAGTCCTGAAGATGAATACTTTATGTTCTAATAGAAATGGTAATTAAGAAAAAAACGTTGGAAAGTCTAGTATAATCTAATTATTGTTAAGTTCACTCGTAAAAATCCTACCTTTTAATAGCCATCAAAAAGCATTCGCATCACTTTCACGTGAATAGAAAATACTCGAACAATTCAAAACTCGGCAAAGAACACACATGAGCACAAACACTTTGGAGACTTTCTATAGCTCGTCAAGACCTACTTATGAACGAAATAGCAGCTGAAAAGGATGTGGACACCTATGAGTGTTCCTTCGTCAGTGACAATACGGGATATGGAAATGGCTTATCTTGCAAATCTCTATCTGAGACTTACACTAGTAACTGCTATCTGTCAACATATATAGAAATCTCATTATAAAATCTCATTAGTGGATTCATATGAATATTGATCTGTATATTTTTAATCTAGCTTTCTCATAAATTGAATAAGTCATTAGTAAGTTCTGATTTGTTTTTTTTTTCTCATATAGAGATTTTTTACATGATGAATATATAATTGAAAGTATGCATAATATTGATTCAAGTCAAATGAAATATCCATCACTGAGTGATAAAAAACAAACTCGTAATGGTATTTAATCATATTTATTTAAAGATCTTCATCTTTTATTTCTTAAATAAATTATTTCATAGATTTAGTAAATAATGAAAAATTTGAATATTATCTTAATTATTTAAAACAACATCATAATGCTGAAAGTCGTATTGAATATGCAATTCAATTATGTAATCAATCAAAATCAGTAAATCTATTAATTTATATTTATAAAATAAAAGAGAAAACAAAAAAAAAGTATCATCTTGTTAGATTGATTTATCATCATTGGCAAAGTGTTTTCAAAAAGATCTAATACCTATTGTTGAACATTTTCTATCAAATTTAATTATAATTGAAAATACACTCGAACTTTTAATTAAAATAATTCATAATGATACGATAATTACATCACAAATTGTAACATTTATTAGAAAAATAATACCTGTATGTTTTGTTTTTTGATTTTAGTTTATTTATATAATTATGTTTTTTCTTTTCCTATTCTTATAGTTATATGAAAATAATGAAGATATAATTAAAAAAATAACTGATATACTTATTGTTCTTGCAACACAAAGTAAATTTTATATATTGATAATCTAATTCTATGTATATTTTTTTGTTTATAAAAATTTAGATGAAAAACTTTTGAATAATGCACGAATAGCTTCACATTTAGTTCAAATAATGACGAAACATGAACATAATGCTGATATTAGCGCCAAATGTTGTACACTTCTTTGGCTTATGGCAAAAGATTCAATGAGTTAGTTAATTTTATTTTTCAAAAACATAGATTGTAATATGATCTCAATAATTAATCCGAAAATTCATAGAGAATGAATAATGTGAAAATATTTTCTTAAGATTATTAAAAATTTTGTAGTTGAATCGCATTTTTTTCTAATAGTCTTCTTCTTCTGATTATCCCCATTAAATTCAAACAACAGTTTTCGAAAGAAAACTTGTTTTTTTTTTCATACTATCGATCAAATTCTACACGTTTGAATGAGATCGTAAAATTCTTTTGTTAAATCTTCTATTCCATCTTTGCAAATATAAAACAAGAAAAAATTAACAACTGAATAAATCCCAAGGGTAAGTATGTACTGTCGACATCACTGTTAGTATGAATGTCAAAATCAGCATCATTCCAAAGTCTGAGTTTTAATTTTAGTCATTTAACATCCTTTAAACTAGTTCAGAAGTGGTTGTATGCAATATGTCACTATGTCATGGAATACGTTCTTTCATATAATAGAGAGATGCCCGTCACGAATGAGAGCCTATCGCTGCCACGATGGCATTCAAAATAATGTTTCGCATTTCATTGCTGTGACTGTATTGAACTAGAGCTTTTGTTACTAATCCATCCATAAGATTCATCGAGTCTCAGTATATAATATTTTGTAGATACCGAAATTCTATGTAAGTTCATGCAGCTTTGCGATGCTCTCTAGAGAAAAAAAGCAGCCGTGATGGACATCTCTGACATGATTGAAGAATAGGACAGATCTGTATGGAAGTCATTTTTAGAAGTGATCGGAGTTCTCTAAATTGCTTTTTAACAAATTAGGTTTAGCAGAATAGATTTTTCTTAAATGGTGAGTTTTAATTTTTGATATTCATTGCACAAACTGATATATTTCGGAGGTTCAATTCACTTCTCCTCATGACTTTACAAAGGTTGGGACAAGTCGGAGTCAAAGTTAACTCTGACTTCTTATGAATGTGAACCTTGCAGAGACATCAATCGAATTCAGAAAACCACTTGTATTAAATCTGATTTATTAATAAGACATTTAGTTGACTTCGATGTATATCTCTAGAATAGAATGATGTTTTCTAGATTTTTGACTTTCGAAATTAACTTGACATAATCTAACAAGCGAGGACGTGTAACAAGAAAGAAATGTATATTTTATTGATATATTTATTCTATTTAGCAAATGAACTTCGTGATCATCAAGCAACAATTCTTAGTATTCTTTTAAAAATTCTTCAAAATCATTCAGATAATAGTGATCTATTTACAAAAGTATGCTTTGCATTTTTACCATTTGTTTTTGAAAGTATGTATGTTGTTTGTTTTATTATTTGATAATATAAAGAAATAAACTGAAATTTTTTGTTTATATTATTAGAATCAACTGTTGATTATTTAGTACAATTTAATCTTGTACGTTATTTTACTATTGGTTTACAAAAACATAATGATAATCGTCAAGCAATTAAAGCTGGTTTGAATATTTTTCTATATGAATTTAGATAAGAACATAAAATCTTTATTTTTCTTATAGCACTTGCTGTTTTATCTGAATTATTTAAACTTGATGGTATATGATTTTTTTTAATAATCTAAAAAACAAAACGGAAATGAGGTTTTTTTTTCTTTTTTAGAACGTTGTGTAATGCGTTTTCTTTGTAGTCGTTCAAATGATGGTACACTTTTAGATTCGATGGAAAGTTTAAATAAAATATTTGATCGATTTAAAAATTATATTGATATAGCACGAGGAATATTAACATTATTAAAATCAATGTCATCTTATGGTTAGAATATATATAACATTAGATTGTTGAAATAAAAATTTTCTATTTTGTTTAATTTAATTATTTAGATGATGCTATTGATGAAATGATATCAACAAAAATTGATGAAAATCTACTCTATGAAATAAAACGTTTTCATTCAGAAAATGATGTAAGTTATTTGATTAGATTTAATTTAGAAAAAACAATCATAATAAAATGAATTTTGCTTTTTTTTTAAAGGATATTGCACAAACTTGTGAACATATTATGACATGTATTCGTCAGCGAAGAGCTATTTCATAAAAAATGTTTCGTTTTTTTTTTATTATAGAAAATAACACTTACAATATGAAATTTTAGTTTTTTTTTGAAAACAGAAAAAAAAGGCAAACATGATTTTACATGAGAATATTCAGAATCTTTTTTCTTTTTTTTATAAATAAAATACGTCATGTCCAAAGAGATTTTATTTAACAAAACGTTTTGGTAATAATGGTTTATTAGGATTTAATGTCAGATCATGTGGAATTTCACCATTGGTTACTACTAATGGTTCAAGTTTCGATGGACGAGGTGATTGAGTTTTTCGAGATGATGATGTTGATGCATCGGAATGACGGGGAATCTAAAAAAAAAAAGAATCCGTGAAAGTTTTATAGAATTGTTAGAATAATGTGTTATCAAACGAGAAAATTGAAAAAATCTAATCTAAAACCTTCAGTATCTTATTTTTATGCTATTAAAAGGTAAATTTATATAAAAAAATCATCTTTTCTATCAATGACTTCATATCTCCTTAATCTTTACCTGTCGATTAAATGAGTAAAGGGAAAAGATTGCTTTTCATTATCAACGAATTGTTAGATTGAAATGTGCAACCGACTTCGAATGGATTCTTTATATTTAGTATATTGGACTGAGTTTAGTTTTTCGTCAAACACATGATGATGTCTAGCT